TCAGCGAGGCTCGAGCGTTCGATTATATCCGTGCCGGCATCTGACTCTTTTACCCGCTCAGCCGACAGGATGAGGAAACATTGACAGTGCGATTAAGTAAACGAGATGAAGAGGGTGGCTTCCCTGTCGACGCGACGAGGCAACGAGAGATTAGCTTTCCGCGGCGACCGTCAGATCCTGCGAGCTGCGAATTGCGAATAACCTCACATCGCGACGGCACGTTGCACTTTGAAAATTGAGCGTAATGAGAATGAGATTACATCTAACCCTTTGCAGCCCAATTTTTGTTCTCATTCTTACTTATCTTCGGTCTCTTTTAATTGCCACTTTTAATAGTTCATCTCAAAAACAATGTCGAGTCACCCTCGACTGCAAAGGGTCGCACAGTGGAGCCAGATGACATTTTTTGGTTCAAAATTCTCTAGAGACCTGAATTTCCGATCATCGACACCAATGGATGAGGTTGATCCTGAATAAATTCCAAAGAGATCTGTCTAGCCGAATTTTGAAAAAATTATCGGTTCAAGGTTCATGGGTTTAGGGTTTGTCTTAAAAGTTTATCGTTTAAAGTACAGTGTCTTGGGTTCGACCTCAATGGATTCGAGCCTATGGAACTTATAATCACTTTTTAGAAAACTCAGAATTTCAAAACTCATCATTTCAGGCCACATTAAGAAAGAATTAAGGATTAAAATCCCTCGGTTTTGTGCTTAACGGGTTTTTATTTGATGTTTTTGTATTCTGGGCATATGAGTTTTGGGTCAATGAGTTTCTGGCTCAAGATCGATAAATCTCGAGGTGTCTGTTGATTGGTTCCATAATTTCGATCCAATCCGCTGAATACGCTATTAGATCGAAATAAGTGTCGGATAATGAGTATTTCACGAGTTTCTCGCGTTTAACGCGATAATTTTTCCTCTTTTGGAGGCTGGTAATTGGAGAAAAAAAATTTTTTTTTTAATTTTGGCAAGACAGATCTCTTCGGAATTCATTCAGGATCAACCTCATCCATTGGTGTCGATGATCGGTTGGAAATTCAGGTCTCTAGAGAATTTTTGAACCAAAGAATGTCATCTGACTCCCACTGTGGATCGTTCCAATAATTATCCAATACTCCGAAGCCTTCCCAGACACTGTCGAGGCTCGTTCATACAAACTCCACGCATTTGCGGATTTTTTATACCGAGAGACAGGTTACACGCTCCCTCGATTAATCCCTCGGATGTCGGCCTCCGGAGTCCCAACAGGGTCGTTCTGAATTTCGTTGGCTCGGCCGAAACGGTATTAACCCGGTAGCGGTGTAGAGGTCAAAAAGCCCTTCCCCCGTTGCATCGAAAAATTCCACACCGGCCTTGTATTAATCGCCCCGGCCGCTCGCTACGTCTAGCTACGCGTTTCGACTGTCCGGAAAATATTTTCCAATCTCCTCTCGCTTGATAAACACGCGAGCAGCGAACGAAGTCGCCGATTGCGAGGGGGGTTCGGAGGCCCCAGGGAGGCACTCCAGCTATTCTCGCGATCGCGCCGAATGCGCGCACAGCCGATTTATCCGCGACTTGAAGTCGAAATCAACGAGCTGAGCGTTAGGGGTTGGTGATTGCGGCAGGAGGGAGGGGTGAAGGCCACAAAGCGCGCGGTAATAGCGCGTGTTCGCCGCGTTTGATGCGCCCTGCGTATCCTGATATTTCTAACGCCGCAAATATCCCTGCGCTGTCCTGAACGATGAATCATTTATTTCCGTATTTAGAATTCGGCTGAAATCCGACGCGACGCAATGCGTGTCGCCGAGAGCGAGGGTGCGCGCGGATTGCGCTCGTAAAAGGGAATATTTAACGCGCATCCTGCGTGCAGATACATCCAGATTTGTCGGCCAGGAGGCAGAGGGGGCAGAGGGGAGGGGGAGGTGATTCGTGGTGCAAATACGCGGTGGTGGCTGCGGGAGTTGCGTCACGTAGAAGAAGAGAAACGTCGAGAGAGAGAGAGAGAGAGAGAGAGAGAGAGAGAGAGAGAGAGAGAGAGAGAGAGAGAGAGAGAGAGAGAGAGAGAGAGAAAGAAAGACGTCGAGAGAAACGCCCGTCGCGCTGCGTCGGTCGATGATTTCAATCGTGCGATCATCGATATTAACGCGACTTTCGGCGGCTCGCGAGATGTGGAACGATAATAATTCACCGTTGAAACGCAGTCGCGCGACAACAACGACGACGATCGCGTCGCCCGACGTGCACGGAATTTTGGAACGGAGACGACGAAGTGGATTGGGAGGGTGGAAAAGGGGCGTTGTCCCAGATGATAAACTCTTCTCCTGTGAAGAATATTCATAACTTGGAAAAGAAGCGTTTCTGGAGCTATCTGTGCTGTCTTTATTGGTAACACTTTACCAATACTTGAAACGAATTGGATATGTCGTTCGGACGTTCTCCAATGAGAAAACGAGATGGATCGGATGCGTAAGGAGAGTGAAAATGAAGAAAGAATCGACGTGTAATGAACGGATCAGACGCGTTTTACTTGAAGGGAATCGAACTCCCCCCCGTTCTTGTGAGTCAAATTCAGTTCGGTGAAAAGCGGAAATTCGGTGCGTTCACCGTCACGTTAATTCAATCAAACTTTCTTCTCTATTTTTAAAATGAAAACAGAGCTGTATTATTTAATTGGTGAAAAAGACCGCTGCAATTGTCACAAATCGGAATATGTCGCTGGATTGGAACATTCAGCTTGTTTTGTAAAACAGAGCAAGAGAGGAAGGGAGAAAGAGAGAGAGGGAGGGAGAGGGAGAGAGAGAGAGAGAGAGAGAGAAAGAGAGAGAGAGAGAGAGAGAGAGTCTCGTTGCGCATGACACACGATCGGTATTTTCGAGCGAATCTTCTGATACGGAAACCCTCTCTCCCCCCCCCCGCGCGACGGGCTGACGGGGTAATCCCGATAGTTCTTCTATCGCGAGGAGAAACGCGAGATGTGTCGTATCGGCGCCTCTTTGCGGCTTTTCCTCGCGACGGATAAAGATTTTCTTTGCGAGATCATTCCAATCCGCGACCCCTCGACGTCTCTGTTGAAGTCGCGCGTTAAATGTCGCGGTAATTAGTGCTGAAACTTAATACTCCGGCAAAGCAATTTCCGTCTGTGAATTTAAACGAACGTGAGATTCTTGTTATTGAATCGCGTTGCGCCCGGAAACTCGCCTCGCAAAGGGCACTTTATTTTCAATCGCTTGCAAAAACCCGGCGGCTCTGTATCAGCAGCTCGCGACGTTTCGGTCAGAAGGAATCCGGCTGTTGGAAGAATCCGCCGAATAAAAAGAGAACAAAACCGAGGGAAAGGGAAGAAGAAAGAACGACGTCCTCGTACGAGCAATTTAGCTCCGTGTTGTATTTTTGCGTGTTCCTCGGCATTATCGTCGACTCGTTTTCTCCGAAAACGCTCCGTACGTCCGTGCGACCGAAATGCCGTCGTCGTAAAAATATATCTTTTCATCGCGCGTGTATCACAGAGCGCGCATTCGCCGGTATTTTTACCTCGTCCGCGACCATCATCGCGGACAACGCGGGGCCCAATAAAACGATATCTTCGGCTTTGCCGCGAATTTGTTTGATCGATCGCCCGCGCGGAAGTGTCTGCCGTGTCGTACGTTCCCCTGTTCCTTCCTCTTCCGCTGCTTTCCTGTCAAGTCAAGTCTTATACGGCCACGAAACCGACCGGACTTCGTTTTCGCAGACAATCGCCTCGAAATTTTATTTCCTCTTTCACGGCACGCGAACTTTCGCACGCCGTTACGGACGTTTAAGTTTGATTCGCGCACGATCCCCAACAATGAAACGTATTAGTGTTTAAGAGATATCATCCACTGATTTTCGAGTATTAACAAGGCAACATGGGGACGGAAAATGGCATAAAGCAACACGAAGACGTAGTAGAAACATAATAACATGATATAACATAAATGAACATAATAATATAATATAATAAATAGTAATACAGTATATATATATATATATTTATATATATATATATATATGTATATGGTATATAGAAATATCACAATATTAAATGAATATTTAAAAATTGATCAGAAGTTTCTTCTTGAGATATACATACAATAAATAAAATGTGACGTTTAAAAATATAACGTGAAATTGCGTGAGATGGATGAAATGAAAAAAAAAAACGAAGCACTTAAATTCTTAACGACATAGTTTTCGTAAGAAATACGATGCAAAATTGAGAGCTACTTTCTCCCGATGCAATTTTTACAACACCCCGCTCGGAAAAGAGGCAATGATTGCACTGTCGGACCAGAAACGAGATGCAAGAGAGAGAGCATAATTCATACACGTACAAACACTGAGCGTAGAGTGGATAAAATGGAAAAAAATGGGACACTTGAATTCCTCGTGACATCATTTTTGTAGGATGCAAAATTGAAGGCTAATTCCCGGCGATGTAATTTTTACAGGATCCCGCTTGAGAAACAGGATCGCATTGCATTGTCAGACCAGAAATGAGATGCAAACATAATTTCTTACGTGTACAAACACCGCGTAAGGTGGGTGAAATGGGAAAAATAGAAAATTTAAATTCTTTGTGAGAGAATTTCTTCGTAACAAGTACGACGCAACATCGCGGACGAATTTCTCGTGGTGTAATTCATCCAGGATTCCGCCTGGGAAGCAAGCAATAGTGCTGTCGGACTAAAAGAGAGATACGCAAGCACAACTCACACACACACACACACATATACGCGCGCATCTATTGCGAGAACTCCGCGAAGCGCGTTCGCAGCCGAAGAGCTTGGATATTTTAACACGGAGGACGTCGGGGAACGTTAACTCGCAGGATGCACGGACAAGTTTATGGGCGATCCATTAACACGGCTTCCGGTGTCGTCAACGGGCTTCGATTTAACCGGCCTAACTGCCCATTAACCTTCCGACCACGCGTCGTCGCGAGCGAAAATGTCCACCCTCGACTCGGCTAGGAGACATCGCAAATTTCGGCTTACTTACCCTGCCTGTATCTATTCCGTCGCCGCAGATCACTCTCTCTCTCTCTCTCTCTCTCTCTCTCTCCCTCTCTCTCTCTCTGTCCCACCCCTCCGAACGGCACAAGGAATCACAGTTCACAAGAAAAGATATGCACGACGGGCGACACGTAGCTGCGAGCGATCATTCGCGGGGGATGCCTCCTCTCGTCGGAAATCCCCTCGGACTCACTTCCGGAGCTCCCTCAAATGATCCTCACTATTCTGCCTTCCGGGCCAGAAGAAGGCGCGTTCACGACGACGACGGCGACAATTAAGAGACGGCGACGACGGCGACGACGACGACGATGATGATCCTCAAGCCAAGTACACTCATACGTTCCGCGTTGCGCATGTGTATACATATATATATATATACACACGTATATATATGTATATGTATATGTATATATATATATATATATATCTATCTATATTTATATATATCTTTGTACATATACATCTCTCTTTTCCTCTCTTTTCCTCAATCAAATTCACCGTTCCTCCCCTTTGTCCTCTCCTCCTTCCATGTATTCTCGTTAAGTACACTCGCTTTTCTTCTCGATACTCTTGTTCTCTCGTTCACCCTTCGAATCTATCCTCCGCCCTCCTCTCTCTCTCTCTCTCTCTCTCTTTCTCTCTCCCACTCTCTCTTCCTCTCCCTCTCTCTCTCTCTCTCTCTCTCTCTCTCTCTCTCTCTCTCTCTGCCTCTCTTTCTTTCTCGATCTCCGTCTCCCTTCCTATCTCTTTCTCTCTCTCTCTCTCTCACTCTCTCTCTCTCTCTCTCTCTCTGTCGTCCTCTTTCCCTCTATACGTCTCTCTGCAACTAGGATAAAATGATATGTATTCGTTCGCAACGGCGACCTCCGGAAAACTGCGGGATCGCGTTCGCCTCCGCGTTCCCACGCGATCACTGCCGGCGATCGAGCGCGTCTGTGATCTCACCCAGCCGCCCCCGTAATATCCGTCTGTCGTTGGTCGACTTTCCTCCCTTCGTGCGGCTGCGGTGTGTTCTTCTCTCCCTCTCCTACTCTCTCTCTCTCTCTCTCTCTCTCTCTCTCTCTCTCTCTCTCTCTCTCTCTCTCTCTCTCTCTCTCTCTCTCTGTCTCTCTCTCACTCTCTCTCTCTCTCTCTCTCTCTTTTTCTCTCTCTCTCTCTGTCTCTCTCTCCCCGTTTCTTCCTCCCTTTTTGCTCTGTATTTATCTCGCGGAGACTTCGTTGCACGCCAACCCGCGGCGATCCTACTCACTATTTTATTTACTTGTGCCTACTAAAACTAACGAATTATATACTCCCGGCGCGCACGGCTATCTCTCTACACGCACGGCTATCCCGCTATGCTACCCCGAGTCACATTTTAGTACGACGCACGGGTGGCGGTGCGACCGTGGGGTTACACTCTCTGCCTCTCGCGCTGCCTCCCTCTTGCGCCCAGTCGGCCGCGACGCGCCCCTACCTCGGCCGCCGGAGCGGGGTGTCATCCCCACTTGGAGCTAGCTTACCCCTGACGCGGCAGCAGCTAAACAGTGGCGGCTCCAACCGGGGGCTAAAAAGAATCGGATCGTGTTTTCTCAGTCGCGTCACAGCTGTTATTTTTCCTGTTGTTGCATCATTTTGTAACTCTGTATTTGAAAAAAGCAGAAGGGAGAGGAGATGAGTTGATCTGTTGGGCTGTTATTGTCCCTAAAGACGCGCGCTTAAAAGCCAGTTCTTCTTACAATCCCCGATGGAGGATTGTAAGAAAAAGGGAAGAGAAGTCGAAGGAGATATTTTTCGAACGCAAACCTTTCTCAATTCAGGTGAGAAGGAAACGAGGGAGGCAAAGAGGTCGATTAGGAGATTAGGAAATTGGGAAATGCAAGGCAATTAGGAGAAGAGGAGAGATGTGGTTGATGTATCGTCAGCTGTAACATTAATCGCTAGAATTATAGCGAGCTGTCTGAAGGCAGCTCGCTATAATCCCGATGCTACGAAGACAACATCGGCATCAGATAACACTTATCACCGCCCGTTAAACTCTGTCCCATAGTCGAGACGTCCCTGACATACTACCCCTTATTCACCCCTTGGCAAATCTCAATGGCGGAACCGTCGCAGGCTTGCGTGTCGAATCGACTGCCACAGCAATTCTTACGTGCGCCGTGAAACAAGCGTTGACATTAGCCGTTTGGTCATTACGACTCGCGGCCGTTTGCTCAGGCGATCTTACGAAGTAATGCGGGAAAAAACGATGCGCCACGCATCTGTCGAAGTCTCACTTAACAGATATTCGCGCAACATCGATGCAGGTGTTAGAGGGGCGCCTCTGTCGCTTGAGACGTCCCTGGTCCTACAGCGAAGCTACCCCGGCCTGAGAGGAGCACAGTGACGTACTCACACTTTCTCTCTTTCTCTCTCTCTCTCTCTCTCTCTCTCTCTCTCTGCGCGAGAGCCGTATCGCTTTACAAAGAAAACGAGATCGGTTCACTCCCGTGTGCTTCCATGAAACCGCCTACGTTGCACAACATTATCTTCCCAGGCTAGATATGTAAATTCCAAATGGCTCGAGTAGCGTCCCATCCACATTCCTCCGGTCGTCGCAGAAAGCGCGCGGTCGTCTCGTCTCCGGCTGGCTGCTTAATTTGCAAAACATGAGAATATCGAGACACGCAATTCTTCACGCTGACGTTCGCGCAAATTCGCGATCGTTCGCGATTACCGCGGCCGTCGTCGCCGTCGTCGTCGTCTCCCTCTTTCTCCGCTTTGATCAACGATAACGTCTACATCCCGTCATACGTCACTGACTACCACCACCTCTACGAGGAACATATCGTCGGCTCCGTCGCCCCGCTCCTTTCGCCGCGCAAATCACCCCTGTCGCATCGCGACTCCGGACCCCCACCCCGCCGCGCACGGCGGCTCAATGGTAGCCGCAGACCACTTATGGTATCTAAACGCCGGTGCCTAGAGCGACGTGTCTGACACGATGATAGGTGAATGGACAGGACTCGTGTCTCTATCCCGTGGCGAGCGTCCCGCCGGTAAATCATGCATGCCGACGAACTGTTGCGGGAAGAGCAGAGTGCTCGCGTCACATTACGCGCAAAATCGCAGCCTGCTACGAAGTCGCACGGTCCGTTCGTGACAACGACGGCGCTGCGAAGTGGCATATCTCTCGCCAGCTGGTCCGGGCTTGAGACTGGCTGGCCAGACCAGCTGGATCGCCGTTTATTTGCACGTTGTCTGACCTAACGACGAGCCCCGGCCCGGGAAGGGGTGAATCGGATATTAGCGGAGCCAACATCCTCGCTCTCCTCACGAGGCTGTCCCGTCGCCGCGTTCGTGTCCGCGAAAGCATTAGCCGGTATTACGTGAGCCTCGAGCGTCCCGCCTATCTGACCTTTCTAAACATCATCAAGTCCGACAGAATACTTGCGGACAGGCAGACTATATATATATATATATATATAAGTGTTAAACAGAGACAGACAGAGGCCCGAGAAAGAAAGAGGGGAGGGGATCCACCCCTGTGTGAGCAGCAGACCAAAAAATAAGCGCTGATTGTGGCGACTTGGCAGCCACAACACGACCAACCCTCCCCCACACATCCACCCCCTCCGTCCCCAGACGGTCGACGACGATCGCGGAGATCGTCTGTAACCGGAAGTCGCGTATTCCGAAAGGATATGCCGCGAGGCGGAGGTGCGAAGATAGAGAGAGAGAAAGAGAGAGAGAGCGAGAGCGAGAGCGAGAGCGAGAGCGAGAGAGAGAGAGAGAGAGAGAGAGAGAGAGAGAGAGAGAGAGAGTAACGGGGTAGCTTCGCACCCCTCTCGCATCCCTTGGCCCGAGCTTTTACGAGCTTGCTCCCCACCACGCGTCCACCACCCCAGCCGGAGGCCGAGAGATTCTCCTATTGACGTACCACCCTCCACCGCGGCATCCCTCGCCCGCCGCCACCCCCCCTCGCCGTTGAAGCCTCTTCTTGTCGCGCTGCTCCCACGCGCATCGCTACCCCCTTCTGGAGCTATAGAGTACTCTGACGTAACGCGACGTTACGTCAAACCACCCTCGCAGGTGGTGGCGGTGGCTGCCGCTGCTGCAACGAACGAGCGAACGAGCGAGCGAGCGAGCGGTCTCCGAACACACACCTGCACGAACGTTCTCTACGATGGCGACGGCATTTCTTATCGCCGCAACGCGATGCTTCTTTATAATCCCGACCCCGCCTTCGCGATGTCGAGCGCGTAATACGCGAGAAAGCACGGCTCGGTCGAAGTAGGCGAGGAAGAGGGAAATTTCCTAACCAAGGACGACGATGAGAATTTCTCCCACGATTCCACGGGGAATACAGTTTGCTCGCGCGCGTGTGTGTGTGTGTGTATATATATGTCTATTGTTCTTTCGCTGTTTTATTTATTATTTGTAAACGATCCGACCTCGGGAGTAAAATGCTTGATATCGGATGATTGTTCTGTGGAAATTTTATCGTCCAATTGCGAATATGAAACTTTTAATGATAAAGTGACGAAATATTTTGGATTATAAAATATTGTGTGGATGTAATATAAATAGTGATTTATAAATCTCTATTTCTCGCGAATGAAGGTAGATAAATCTCTACCAATGTTTATCTCGAGATTCATCATTTTTAATTATACACACGTGTACATATTTTATATAAATGATGCATTTCTCTCTTGATCTCTGAAAATATAACAGAGATTTGTATGTGTGTATGTATAGCACGCGGGAGAATTTTTTTCTGTATCTTATTGAAAATCGTGAATGCTCCGAAAGCCTCACGCTATATTTCTTGTTCTTTTAAATAATCTGTCGGTTGCTTACTCTACACGGCTGAAGGTGATAGAGGTGATAGCGACGATGTAATAATAGTCGTAGATCCGGTTCCAAGAAATTGACTGTTTCCATGTAGAACAGATATAAAGAAGGGTCGATTAAATTAATTCTAAGAACAATTTTTGAATATTCATGTTGGTGATGTTGACGTATAAGCTTGGCGAGGCACACTGCAAAATATATTTCCACGACTTGAAAGTCCTCGCTCGCGATCGAAATGTGCTCTCAAATTTCGGGAAATATACGTGAATAGCGCGGAATATAATTATGTACTTTCTCTAATTTACGATAATGCTTATTACCCTCCTCTATTTTGCAAATATCGTAAATCATACAACCAATTATCAGAAATATTACATAAATACAACGAGTGAAATTTTTAATTTTTTGTGCATTGAGCTTCTTATAACATTTCCTTCAAATTTCTTTTGTAGGAATGTAACTTTTAATTCTGCCATTTATCTCTGTCACGTTGAAGATTGAAGACACTTATTTCTTTTACATTTTATATTACTTTGGAATTGCCCGCCGTTTTGAAAATATGACATCTTGAAAATGTG